GTGATTGTATGATGTTTTTTATGTTGGGCCCTGTATTCATTGGTTTTTGAAAAGTGTTTTATATTTTATTAATTATGTATTTCTATATTTTAATGAGACGTTTGCCCTAAAGTTCTTAATAAATTGAGAAATATGATCAGATATGAATGAGTCAATTTCTGAGTGTGTTTTTTCTTTATTATTAAAATGTAAAAAAGAAATAGTCCTTTATACATCTTTATATTTATGATATGTATCACAACATAAGTCATCTCATATATATATATATATATATATATATATATATTAGATGACCAACACTACCTGACAAAATTCTTGTCAGTGTTAGAAAGTGGCTTATATGAAAGGTAAAGGTCTCTAGATTACGCTTAAATAAAGTCACTTAACAAATGTAGAGTATAGAATATAAAGTCATGGTGCAGTGGAAAAATAGTTAATACGGTGTACAGTATGACTCGCATGAGCTTGGAGGACTGCATCCATACATCTCTGCAATGACTCAAATAACTTATTAATAAAGTCATCTGGATTGGCAAAGAAAGCGTTCTTGCAGGACTCCCAGAGTTCATCAAGATTCATTGCATTTATCTTCAATGCCTCCTCCATCATCTTACCCCAGACATGCTTAATAATGTTCATTTCTGGTGACTGGGCTGGCCAATCCAGGAGCACCTTGACCTTTTTTGCTTTCAGGAACTTTGATGGGGAGGCTAAAGTATGAGAAGGAGCGCAATCCTGCTGAAAAATTTGCCCTCTCTTTGCCCCCATACTGAATGTAACCCCAAACCATGATTTTTCCCTTCACCAAACTTGACTGATTTCTATGAGAATCCTGGGTCTATGCGGCTTCCAATAGGTTTTCTGCTGTAATTGTGATGATTGGGATGCTGTTCAACATGATTCATCTAAAAAAAAAAAATATTTTTTGCCACTTTTACAAATGATCAACTACAAGTCAGGCTGTTACTGTACAACTGTAACAACAGGGATCGATGACAAGACTTTGGTCAGGTAGTGTATTGTGATTTTTGATCTTACGGATCTAGCAAGAATGCTTTAAATCAATCGGAAGATACATTAAAGAAATGTATAATCATGATTTCTATTTCTAATAAATGCTGTGAACCATTATTTTAAATTGTAGCATTGCTTCCTCATTTTACCTTTGCTATATATATTTTATAATCTATAAATGCAGTTTTGGTGAGCAAAGGAATTAGTCCATCTATGCGATTGTACAAGTAGAGCTCCTGTATGTGCACTGATGCTGGTTTCCTGAAGCTCGGCATTAGCTCCAGCAGAGATGATGATGCCCAGAGACACGGTCTCATTACAGCAATAACAGTCCTGTCTGCAGACCCCTCTCACACTCAACATACCCCACCACAAATAAACTATTTATAGTCTCATAAATAGAGGGAATAGCAGAAAAACATGAGCTTCAACTTTGTTTTGTCTTCAAAATAAGTAAATAGTCTTTCTTAAAAGTATTTTATTTTGTAAAATAAGGCAGTATTAATAATATTAATGCAATTGACTATTGGAATACACATTTTCGGGATGTCAAAATTTACTGAACAAATGAAATGAAAGGAGGTAAAGACGAAGTGTAATAATTAAATGTTCAATATAATTTGAAACCATTTAATCTAGTTGTATGTCAAAACAAACTTTTGTATGTGTAATATAGAGTTTTACCAACGAAGCGTTTAGATGCAAAAACCAAATGCCATTTTATATTTTCTTCTAAAATTAGCATTTTTCTCCAACTCCTGTGTAATTTTACTTTTATAGTGACAAATAAGTTATTTTCATTGCCTTTAAAAGTGAAACAACTTAACATAAATATGAGGCTGAGAAAAGGGCTCATTTTAGGAGGACATTTTAGATGGCATTTAGAGGTTTTTTCATCTGAATTCTTCCAATACCCTCCCATTTATCTTAATCTTATTGAATTATATTAAATGTTATTTAATATATTACAATAACCAGGATACAAAATAATAACAATATTAACAGAACATTAACACATCGTTGAGTTATTTGTCATTGCTCAGCTAACAGGACACATAAAATAGATCTCAACGCTAAAAGTAATACTTTGTCTCCATCTAGTGTCAACGTAGCTTGTGACTTTGTTAGTTTTCACAGTCATTTAATTTGGAAAAGCAAGCCCAAAATACAGATATTGCACAATTATAATACATTTGTGGTAAATGCTTGGCAATTGTTTAGAGAATGATGAAATGGAAACGTGTATAGAATGTTGAATATTATGTGTATTGTGTAATAAAAAAAAAAAAAGATTTAGCTCAGTCAAAAAG